ACGCGGTGGTGACCCAGTGGTAACGTCACCAATTATGACCCAGGGGATGTGTGTTCGAATCCCACCACTACCGCCTGACTTTCCCCATTTGTGTTGTATGACAGCCCTTTGATTGGCCGCTTCCCCCTTCCTGAAAATTGTGTCAGTGTGTATTCAATAAAAGAGAGTTAATGAACAGAAAAGAGGCTTTTGGATTGCTACATTCTTCATTTTATTTATTGCATGTAGTAGAGAAACGTCATTTTAAAAACCACACACTGTAAGCTGTTTCGGGATATCTCAGTTTTGCCCAGTGTATATAGATTGCGACATTTGTAACTTTGAAAACAAAAACCACTTTAACCGTAACCATTAAAGTCCCTTGGGTGCTAGGAGGTAGAGCGGAAAGTGGTATGTGCTGTCACCAGATTGTTTACGTTAAGAAATCCCGAACAGGCCATCGACATGAATCAAGTTTTCCATTCAAGTGTGCGGAATCGGTGCGGTCACGGACAATCCCGAGAATCAAACATACCACTGTCCGGATGCACGGTGAGGGGAGAAGAGAATGGTGACTAGCGACACATCCGTATTTCATTCACTCGGAATAGGTAGTGTGATAGGCGAACATTGTACCGGATGAACCGCAGAAAATAAACTACAAGCATAATCAAGCGCTTGTTTGGGACATGAGCGCCCCAAGGAGGATCAAAACAAGACGTGTACAATTTTCGGTTTGTTTGACGCCTATCGCTCTGTATTTATTCGTTTTCGGATTGTGTGAGGTCAGCTCAACCGCTTACCTCACTGTAAGTTGACCGGATTCGGGATTTGATCAGAGTGGTCGGACTACAGATGCACATCGCAACTTGAGGACTGACGTGCACACACACACACACACACACACACACACACACACACACACACACACAACGAGAGCGACAAAGCCTCCAACTACACATATGGTATACAGATGAATCGATGTGTGAATGACAGTGACAAACTGTCTAAATGCGCATCTGTGACAAACGAGGCGTCACCATTTGATCTGATCAGTGTTCAATTTCCGTTTTGAACACAAAGTGATGCAACCCGAAATTGATGTGTTGAGAGGATAAAACGTTTTACCGAACTAACAATATTGACAAACAGCGGATGAGCAAACTGAAACGATACAAACTAAATATGTAGATCGGTAGCATCACAAAAAGTAGCTACCAGTTGAAAGTTGCTTTTCGTTTTTCCTCAATTTGGTCACAAAACTCAACAAAACACGGGAGCACAAACTTGATATTCAATAATAATGATAAAAATATCTGAGAAACGTCAAGGCTTTGTTCTTTGGTATATCTCACAGAAGCATTTGGTTAAGTACTTCAGAAAGTTATTTCTGATCATTGCGATCAAGTAGATTCTATCTGAATATCCTTGTCGGAGCAACTGTTTGCAGGTCGTCTACAAGCAAAAGGAAATGCAAGTGTATGCACACAAAGTTGGTGAACGTTTGGCCAAACAATCAAGATTTGATAAATTAGTTAGCACTCAGACACGGATCTGGAAATGAAGACCTAACGTGTCTATTGGCTTTCCCATTGATTTTATATTCCAATCACAATTTTTACCTAAATTCTTTATTTCTGCTTGTCAAGCATACATTTATCTGAAGGCACTACTAAGAAGTAACTGTGGATTCAATGAGTTAAATAATACAACTTATAGTTAGCTTGAAAAGCATAGTGTAACGAGCGATACCTAACTGTGCACCATATGCATGAAACATACATGGTCAATCGAATGCTTCTGATATTCCCAATCCAAACCTACTCGACGTTATCTTGGAGCTGCGAAACACCTAATTCATAGAAATACTCGGCAGAGAAAAAATACAAAATCTTTCAAAGGGTTGAGTTTTCCTAAACAAGACGGCGTAGGAAAAATAAATAAATACTGCCGTAACAGAAAAGGGAAAACAAAACACGACTGCAACTGAGCAAAGACATGAATTCGGAAAAAGTCACACCCGTAAACAGAATACAGTGCGAGTACTCAAATCCCTCATGTTCGCATATAAAGAAGCAAGCCGACTAGTTGAGGTGTTTTACCGGCACAGAGACAATTTTTTTAATCCTGGAATAGAACAAGTGTGTACATGTATGTGGTTCACGTCTCCAGTACTTGCAAAAATCTCATACATGACAAGGAAAATCTATACTTCTTCAAACGAAACTGATCGTTTATTTGACCACAGTTCCTAGTTCTCCTCTGTCTTAATTTTTACGCGTGCTGAACTCACCATAGAACCCCGAAATGAAAATTCACTGTCTATTGTGTATTCTGTTCACCAAAGCCACATTTGGGTGGTAATTTTACAGGTACAGTGGAAAAACAGGACTGCGAATGGCAGATGATTACCTGTGACGGTACTGATGCAGGCGGATCAATGCGAATCGACGGATCCCATTCGCCCGGGGGCAGAAGGGTTGCTGCGCTCAAAAACTCGTCCAATCCGGCCAGTAAATCAACTCGCGATTTGGCTTTGTAGGCCACATCGTGGAACACCTATTTTGGACATAAAACACAGACGCTGATGTGAAGCGTGTAATAAAAACCAATTGATTTTATATATCCTCAGATGCACTGCAAATACATTCACTCAAACAGGTACAATGATAGAACTTCGCGAGTGAAATAATTGCCATCAACGTCTATCTGATCATATGCTAATAACTTTAGAGTTTTATTTGCACAACAAGTCAAAATTGCGTGTAGCTAAGAAACAAAAAACTGTTTGTTCTCAAAGTTGACTGTTTTTTGTTTCGCCCTTTCTATTTCTATATTTTGCGCCAATGGTTATTTTTGCGCCGTATATGTATGGCGTGCAATACAAATTTCCGTTAGGAATTTTACTCATTGCCCACGCTATCACACTTTAGCTTGTCATAGCTGTGCTTAGAAGTTGTTTACACCAGTTGGAATTTGAAAGGAACTGAGGACGCGTGAATCAATGAATCTGGTCAAATAATCCAAATGCATATACAGAGACACGGGTCATTATAATGAATCGATTTTCCCACAGTAATAAAAACAAAAGGTCATCGATTCATCAGTCCCACATCCAAAGAAACTGTCTTCACAAGCCTAACCAAATGGCATTTGTCCAGGGTTATATTTGTTTAAATAAGTGGTTTGGATGCCCGAATTATGAAAGTAAGTCCAAGCCATCAAGTAATAAGAGAGAGCTGGACCACCACATACAGACAAACCGGAGTTTGAACCCTTGCACCAAACCAACCAACCCGAGAAGAATCAGATTGTGAGTCGATTGGCTCATAACCCTGCAAATTACGAGAAAGAATTTTTAGTCAACACGATACAAAAAGCTCTAGAAAATCAATTCAAGATGTCCGGAAAATCGAGATCTGGGTAGGGAAACGCAGCGTGAATTCAACAACACAATAGTCAAGTTCCACTGGAAATTGTAAAACATAGCAGTAGGGTCACTTTCTTCAAAAAATGTTCCTTTCTCCTCTGTCAGACGTTTGGTAAAAGGTTTTCAAAAAACGAATCTACTGATGAGCGGTTGAACATCGCCACAATGTACAAAACTGTCACAAACCTCGTGACAACATTCTGTAACAGTAGATGGTTGGTAACCACGTCAGTATTTTGTGCCAAAAATCGAAATGAAGGCAGAATGGCAAGCTTTATTTAGCCTGAGTTACTAGAAGTGGATTTCGTTTAGCTGAAAACATTTCGAAGACCCATAATTTGAACCCCACCATAGTCATTTCTTTTTTTTTTCATTTTA